GCAGTGCGCCAAACAACCCTATGGCTTAGTTCTATGTGGATTTTACGTCTGCGAGTACCTGAGGACGTGCACCAGATTCAACAGTAGCTGGAGGCAGCTCAAGAAAGCACAAGGATGGTCGCGAAGGGAGAAGGTCGACCAAAGCTTCAGACAAACAGTAGCATACATATGTAAGTTTATCACAGAGTGCGCGCATGAAGGGCGACTGTTGTTCAACAAGGAAAGCGAGTTACCGCTAAACCCGAAGTTTAAGAGGATTAGAAACTGGAGCACCAAGTTATAAATCAAGGATTATATCTTGCCGGACCACTTTTCCAGGAAAAGTTGATAGCAGGGTGATCTTAGTTTCACATCTTTAAACATTTGACATCATGCATGTGTGTAATAACTTTGAATGATGTTGGTTGACGATAGAGGACACCAATGAATGTGTTATATGTTTGTGCTCGATATGCGTAATATGTGTTTATATATGTCTTGATTCGGCTTTTATATGTGTTTGATTTGTGAAAATATAATTCAAATTCAAATTCAAATCAAATTGCCGAGGCTATTTTTTTAAATGGGAAAATATTAACGGAGGCGAGCAAGTAACAACAGACCGCTACCATTAAAACTTTATCTGTGGCGGTCGCATTATAGCGACCGCCTCGATTAAAACTTTAATGGAGGCAAGCACGTTAGGGCAACCGCCTCCGTTAACCATCATTAACGGAGGCGGTTGCCTTAAGGCGCCCGCCTCCATTAAATGATTAACCGTGGCGGGCAGGGCAACCGCCTCCGTAAAGTCACGATTAACCGTGACCTTTGATTGAAGGCGGTTGCAATGCCCGCCTCTATTAAGCATTTTCGCCCGCCTCCATTAAGATTTTTGTACTAGTGTTACATAGAAACTGCTTTAAGGAACGTTGCCAAACGACCCCTTAATAGCCCACGAGATTCAATAGAACCATCCAATTTGTGGTATTCTTTTCACAAGTAGTCCTTTATTATTCTCTATAATTTATAGCAAAAGAAAAAAATAAGTTTGTTTTCTAGGGAACAATAGGAAACATATTCATATGTTTTTGCAACATGTCGTACAATTTGTTACTCAACTAACGATATTTGTTCAATAATCACGCCATACATTTTAATTTGTTTTGGAACTCCCTAGGCCCCGAGCCTCAGACCCATTAGGTAGTGACAGTGTCAGATGGAGTGGTATGGTTCTAATTTTCGTGGTGCTTGTTTGGGAGACAGTAGGGGAGAGTCATCCCACCACATAATATTTCTCAAATATGCGGGGCAACCCCATCCCTCCAAAAGAGCGAAGGAGCTCGTCCTCTATCACGCCATGCGTATTCTCTTGTTGAACTCGTCCTCGCGTGGCTAGACGGGGATTGGGTGCCGGCGGCCATGGCACGTAGCTGGGTAGTGAAAGCCCTAGTTTGGTTTTGAATAATTGATGAAACCTAGGGACTAATCCTTGTACTAAGTGTGTAGACATGAAAGGATGGTCCTATGCCAAGTGGTGGAGCTAGATGATGGTCATGGTGATGGTGAAGACCAAACTTGAAGATCAAGTGCTCCAGCTTAGAAAAGAAGAAAGAGAAAAACAAAAACCGAGGAGATCAAGGCAAAGGTATAAGATAGGTTTTTGTTTTGGCACTTAAGACACCACAGAGGGTGTAAGTGCGTTTAGGATCGTTAACCGTACTATAAAGAGGGAAAATCTTTGGCTAAGCAGGTTATCGAGTGCCGCTATGTAACATTGTTCTTGCATATGCATTTAGGAACCTAGTGTGCTAACTTTGGCCCTTGTAAAATGCTTTGAAAAATGCTAACACACGTGCACACAAGTTTTACACTTTGTGGTTAGCAAGTTGGAAGCAAGAGCGAAGTGGTTGTGGACTTAGAAAAAGAAAAGGAGGTGAAGGATGAGGACCAGACGCTGGCTTCGTCCTAACCGGACGCTGGCTTCTGAGTTCGGTCAATTTTAGGCGGTGGCGTGCTGTTGGCCGAGAGGGCTGAGGAGCGACCGAACGCTAGATCTAAAGCACCGGCGCGTCCGGTCACTTTTTTAGAGGTCGAGTTGGCGCGATCGGATTCGCAGGGGCCGCGTCAGGTGGACGCTAACGTATGTTGACGTTAGCTCGTAGGCGTGCGGAGAAGAGCACAGAGTGGACTGGACGCAGGGGCGCGTCAGGTCACCTTTGATCTGACGTGTCCGGTTGTGATTTCAGCACTCTAGATCATCTCTGGAAATGATCGGACGCCACATGGTTGTGCGTCCGGTCATCTGAGCAGCGCGTCCGGTCATCACTTAACAACACGAGCGCTCGGGACTTGACCGTTGGGATCTGGTGGCAGAGGTTTGAAGCATTGACATGTGGCGGTGATCTAGCGACCGGACGCTGGAGAGGCTGCGTCCGGTCAAACCGACCAGCGTGTCTGGTCAAAACACAAAGGCACCCCTTTGAGCATAACGGCTCTATTTCGTTGGGGGTGTCTATAAAAGGGGTTTGGCTGGCTTGGGGCTCACTCTCTTGGCACTTTGACATCCTTGTGAGCATAGGCAAACACCTCCCACTCATCTTCATCATTGATTCATCATAGTGAGATTGAGAGTGATTCCAAGTGCATTTGCTTGAGTGATTGCATTTAGTGGCACTTGAGGATCGTTGTGGCTACATATTTCTTATTTCTCTTGATGGTTGCCGCCACCTAGACGGCTTGGAGCAGCAGAGGAGCTTCGACACGTGTTGGTGGTTGTTCGTGGCCGGCTTCGGTGATTGTGAGGGGTCTTGCACCTTCCCCGGTGAAGAGCCGCAAGGTAGCTCTAGTAAATTACTCGTGTCATTAAGTTATCTCACTTGTGGATAGGTTCTTGCGGTGTCTAATTGTTGGACGAGGTTCGTGCAACACCTCTTAGCCGCCGAACCACCAAGTGTTGATCGACACAACGGGGACTAGCGTGACGACAAGCACGTGAACCTCGAGAGAACAATCTTGTGTCTCTTGTGTGATTGGATTTCTCCCGGTGATTGGTTGTCATCATATCGTGATTGGTTTATTCCTCGACGTGACGGTATAATCACCCTACTCACTCCATTACTTTCTTGCAAACTAGTTGTAGCAAGCTCTTTAGTGTAGTTTTGAGAGCTTGCTTTGTAGCTTAGTTTCATCTAGTGGAGCTCTTTAGTGTAGCCTTGTTGAGAGCTCTTAGTGAGTAGTGACTTAGCTCTTGTGTGTGCCTAATGATTATAGCAACTAGAATGATTGGGATAGGTGGCTTGCAACCCTTGTAGAGCTAGATCAAAATTGCATTACACCGTTTCTCATACTAATCAATTGCTCTAACTATCTTGTAGATTTTTAAATAGGCTATTCACCCCCCTCTATCCATATTAGGACCTTTCAGGTAGGGGTCGGGTGGACGGGATGCCAGTGGCCATGGCGTGCGACTATGGGGGGTATAAGGTGGACAGGGTTTGGAAAAGCCATGGCACGAAAGGGTGGTAGCCAATCCGAGCGGTGCGTATTAGCGAGGCCCACGTTGATTAGGTAGACAAGGTGGGGCCGACCGAGCAAGGGCCAGACGATGATGTCGGTGGGCATGGCATGGATGGGTGGGAGCCGGATAGAGCAGAGCAACATAGATGGAGCGGTATAGACTGGCTCCTGGCGGCACATCTGTGTGGGCCGCGCAAAGGGACAAGTGCTGGGCAATGGAGACAGGCCCCACCAGGCGAGCGCCATGGATGGGTAGAGGCCGGCCGGGTGGCACAATCAATCCCACTATAGGTTGCACATGGGTTGAGCCCAGACGAGAGGGATAAGATTAGAAAGAGACTAATAGCTAGGGTCCAAATACGGTGGCAGACGAACCAAAAATTGTTATCCATGCAATCCCTCCTTATCCCTCCAACAAAAGTTATCCCTCCAACAAAAGAAAAGATACATCCCTATTCACTCAACCAAACAGAGACATAGGTTCAGGTTCATTTTATCTTAAAAAACCTAAAATGGATCCACCACATCCTTTCTTATCAATACTATCTTACCATATGACTATGCGTTTTATTATGCGTAAAAGGGAGAGAGAAAATGACGAGAGTGAGTGATTGACCGAAGGATAAACTATGCAGTAGCAAAGAGTTTTTTTTAGCTCTACTAGTAGCTAAGATTTTCTCTAAAAAAGAGAGTCTGTGGTAAATTGGTAATCACGTACTCCCTCCGTCCCGAATTATTTGCATTTCTGGGATTGGGCACGACAACCAAAACATATGGAAAATTACCAAAATACCCCTATAAATATAGACCGGTTGCAGTGGTGGACAGCTGTGCGGAAGCAAAGAAGTTCTCCAGTACAACAACCATTTTATTACGATGGGTCACGAAACCCCAGCAGCTTCTGGATGAGGCCGATGGAGCCTCCGTTGATTTTTTTTTGTTTTCCTTTTGTTTTTTAGTTTTTTTTATTGTTTTGGTCTGACACACTGGCGTTGTGCGACTGTCTAGCGTTGCACTGCTCTGATGATTCCTGCCACTGCTGCATGCTCCGCCGGGTTCAGTGACCGATTAATATGGGAAAAATTTTAAACTCAAACGTGCAAATAAACTGAGACGGAGGGAGTACACAAAGTGGGTGTGTTCTCTCTGTTCTGCTCATCCCTGCAGCTGCAAGTGGGCCACCCTCGCCGACGGGCTGAAACAAGAAAACAAGAAGTCCACGTGGGGGTGGAGAGCAATGGATATCGGAGAGCGAGGAGAGCACGAAACCACCACCCTGCCGTCCCGTCCCGTGCCATCCTCCCTCCATTATTTCCCGGCTATCCATCCCTTGGTGGCTTTGCTTAGAAAAAGCGGCTTCCTACTCCTCGTCCTTATCGCCAACCGAACCGACATTGTTTTCTTCCCCTTCTGGCCTTCTACTTCTCCCCCCAGTCTAGAGGCGTCTGCTCCCCAATCCCTTCGGCCCGCCCGCCCGCCCGCTCGACGTGATCCCACCGGCAGCCATGGATCCGTACAAGGTGCTGTTTCTTTGTTTCGATTTCGAGTCCTTTCTTCACCGATTCTGCCCTACTTATTAGATCCTCAAATCAATTTCGCATCTTGTTTCCTTCCGCCCTTGATTGATGCGCTCGCTCATCTGACTTGGGGATTCTTCCTTCTTGCAGCACCGCCCGTCTAGCGGGAGCAACTCCAGCTTCTGGACCACCAACTCCGGCGCCCCCGTCTGGAACAACAACTCCGCTCTCACCGTCGGACAGCGAGGTCAGACTCTGCTCTGCTGCCTCCATTACTCCTTTCCTTTTCCATTACAGGATCATGTAGCATATATGTTCTTGATTTGTGTGAGATTCATTCGATACGTGATCTGTGTTAGCCTTGCCATGGGGAATTAGTCGTTCTTTGGTTGCTAGCTGCTGTGATCCCCGCACCAGTATTTTTTTTTTTTAGGTCATTGTCGCAAAAAAGTGTCCATCAATTACAGGAACAGGATACGCACACCTATCTGTAACCAATATGTTTCGATCAGTGATGTCAGAAATATGAGAAGCCTTCTGTTTTAGGAGTTTATTTTATTGTCTACCTGCTTCACTTTCTGTTCTGGTGTTATTAGCAAACAATTGCTGATTTACAGTTTCACACGATGTGTTCTCATTTGGCAGGACCCATCCTCCTTGAGGATTATCATCTAATTGAAAAGCTTGCTCAGTTCGACAGGGAACGTATCCCTGAACGTGTTGTGCATGCACGAGGAGCCAGTGCCAAGGGTTTCTTTGAGGTCACTCATGATGTCTCTCACCTTACATGTGCTGATTTTCTCCGGGCTCCTGGCGTCCAGACACCTGTTATTGTCCGGTTCTCTACAGTTGTGCATGAGCGTGGAAGCCCTGAGACCTTGAGGGATCCACGTGGTTTTGCTGTCAAGTTCTACACCAGAGAGGTACTGAGGATAAATTTTAACTCGTCTCCTAGGGGAAATAGATATACATCTTAACTGTTATATCTTTTGTTATGTCTTAAAAAGAAGAAACATTCTTTTTTAGAACTGTTGTGAGTTATATGACACATCTTGGCAAGTATTATTCTGTCAATGTATGATGTATGCATTCATCAAAGAATGTAATATCAAACGTTTAGCTGATTTCAACCAATGTTTTCAAGTCGTCCAGTCGAACCTAGTCGCCATGGGACCGACTAGGACGATTAATCGCGATTAATCGGACGACTTGTACAAGTCGACGGTACCCCTAATCAGTCAGCAGGGACCGATTAGGACGATTAATCGTGATTAATCGCGATTAATCGGACTACTTGAAAACATTGATTTCAACTATTGCTTAGTAACTTGATGTGTACTTTAGCCCTGTAGATGATGTCCTTGGCATGAGCTGTTATTCAGATGAAATGATAGCTCTAGGTTCTTTTACTCATTGGAATGACTGCATCTTTCATTTTTTTTTTCTTAGTTGAAAGCTACCTCTTCCTCCTGTTTTAGTTGACCTTTTACCTTGTCATGATGAACTTCCTTTATGAAATTAAATTCTTTTTGTTTTGAGTTCTTATGAAATTAAATTCTTTTTATGAAATTAAATTCTGATTACCTATTTATGGCACAGATATAAGTGTCTTTTGCTTAAAAAAACAATACTCTGTGGCTCCATAATGTGCACATCGATAATCACAGATTCTCTCAGCAGAAATAATATAGTCAAAGATATTTCATAACTGAATCCATCTCTGTCCAGTTTAGATTGCTGCGCTGTTTGTTTACTTTTTTTACAATTGTTGATGCCTTATGGTGACCCCATTTTTAGAACACTTTATATTGACGTTTTTATATCCAAAGGGATAGTATCTTATGATTTTCTCCATGCCTTTTTCAGGGTAACTTTGACCTTGTGGGTAACAACATGCCTGTGTTTTTCATACGAGATGGGATGAAATTCCCTGATATGGTCCATGCTTTCAAGCCAAACCCAAAGACCAATTTGCAGGAGAACTGGAGAATAGTAGATTTCTTCTCTCACCACCCAGAGAGCCTACACATGTTCACCTTCCTCTTCGATGATGTTGGCATCCCACTCAACTACAGGCACATGGAGGGCTTTGGTGTCAATACCTACACCTTGATCAACAGGGATGGAAAGCCTCACCTTGTGAAATTCCATTGGAAGCCTACTTGTGGCGTGAAATGCTTGCTTGATGATGAAGCTGTGACTGTTGGAGGCACTTGCCACAGCCATGCGACGAAGGATCTATATGATTCCATTGCAGCTGGGAATTATCCTGAATGGAGGCTCTACATCCAGACTATTGATCTTGAGCATGAGGATAAGTTCGATTTTGACCCGCTCGATGTCACCAAAACCTGGCCTGAGGATATCATCCCGCTGCAACCTGTTGGACGGATGGTCCTGAACAAGAACATTGATAACTTCTTTGCAGAGAATGAACAAATTGCTTTCTGCCCAGCGATTATTGTCCCTGGAATCCACTATTCTGATGATAAGCTGCTCCAGACGAGAATCTTCTCCTATGCTGATACCCAGAGGCACCGCCTTGGTCCAAACTATCTGATGCTTCCTGTGAATGCACCAAAATGTGCCCACCACAACAACCACCATGAAGGGTTCATGAACTTCATGCACAGGGATGAAGAGGTACTATGTTCTTTGGAGTTCTTTTCTCCTTTTGCATGCAAGTGTGTTAGGATGCATCTTACCTATTGACATAAGTAACATGTGGGAGTTCCCTAGCACTTATATCTATTTTCTCTGTTTCTTTAGGTGAACTACTTCCCTTCAAGGTTTGATCCTGCCCGTCATGCTGAGAAGGTCCCTATTCCTACCCGTGTTCTAACAGGCTGCCGCGAGAAGGTGTGTATCGTAGTATGTTTAAATTCTAACAGTGCCTTTATGATACAATATTATACTATGGTGGGCTTGTGGCTACATCATTTTCAATATAATGGTGAAGGTGAATCGCTGTTAGAATTCTTCTTCTGAGAATCTAACTTGTGCTGTTGAATCTGCAGTGCATCATCCAGAAGGAGAACAACTTCAAGCAGGCTGGCGAGAGATATCGATCCTTTGACCCTGCCAGGTTTGCCCCTACACCTCAGGATGATTGGTTTAGAGGTATAGAAAGACATTAAGCTGCTGTTTGCCTAATTCAAGTGTTTTGGTATCTGATGACAGGCAAGACCGGTTCATCCAGCGATGGGTTGACGCACTGTCAGACCCTCGCGTTACCCATGAACACCATACCATTTGGATCTCCTACTGGTCTCAGGTATTCATTTTGTTGTTATTTGTTTTTGGTAAAATGCTTAGTGGCCACTTGGGCGATTGCTAACCATGTAGACATTCGTATGTTTTATCTTGGTACTGAAACCATATTACCTGTGCGCTGCAGTGTGACGCCTCTCTTGGCCAGAAGCTGGCTTCTAGGCTGAACGTGAAGCCAAACATGTAAGATTGACAAGGAAGAAAGCAGGCGCCGGTGTCCGAGGATGCAATCATGCAACACAACATGGATCATGTGATGTTGAGAATGGCTGTTACGCCTATATGATCGAATAAACAGGGATGTGCGCGTCGTAGTATGCTGATGATCAATGGTGGTTATATATACTGGAACTTTTGGTGTACACTCATCTTTTCTGGAAAGACGTAATAAAAAAGAAGAATGTGTCAATGTGGTGGGCAACGGTAGCAAATGATGTTATGGTTGTAGTTTAAGGTGGCGTTGTTTTTGTCGCCAATAATATAAAACCCTGTTGTGTTATAACAAACAGTGATGAGTTGTGGCGGTATGTTTTTGACAGTTTATTTACTAGTAAGTGCATCTCTGATTGATCACGTTCGCCTAGAACCAAAGAATGTGAAGGAACAGTCGGTTCTAGTGTTGTGGTTGGGCCCTCAGAATTCAGAAAGCACGAACAGAAGTAGCAAGGATCATCCCATCAAGGGTCTCTCCCTTTGAACAGAATTCAGAAAGGCACAGGCAGATGAGAAGCAGCAAGGAGCCCATATAAAGCGTCTCTTGGAAGGCAGAATTTTATAAGAATCATATAGGAATTTTACTGGAAGTTTGTTTAATTTGACAGGATTTTATAAGAGTCATAATCATGTAGGAATTTTATTGAAATTAGTTTAGGAAAAAAAAATCCCAAATTCCAAAGAGGCCTGTATCAGTCTGGAAACAAGTGGCGCGTACATTACATGGACTCTTTTTTTTTTGATCGGTACATTACATGGATTCAGCATGGCTTTCAGGAGTTGCCTCACCGTCACCACAGCATTATATATGCACACTTATTCAGCTGCAACACTGCCGCTAGCAGCTCAACCCGCAACAGAAAAACAGGCGGTCTGCAATCGTATAGCGGGCCGGGATAAGTGGGCTTGCGGGCAGGCCCGCGTCCCTTGCAAGGTGCAACTTGCAACCCTATACTCTGCCTTGTCTTCGGCACCGCGTGCGCACAACTCCCCACCCACCGACGACTGGGCCGACCGTCTCCGCCGCCGCCGCCCTACTTCGGCACCTTCGCTGGCGACGAGCACCACCAGTTACGCCCTTCCCTTCCTGCTGGACGAAGCCGTGCGCCCAAACCTTAACGTAGCAGGACGCTCAGCACGAGCTGGAGATGGAGGTGGAGGTGGCCAAGTATTCGCGGGGGCAGGGTGCTGACTTGAAGGTAATCCCCATTATTGTGCTCTTGCAAACAAGCTGCAAGTGTTAATCATTCTATTCTACTTTAGGATGAATATGATGCTGGCCAGCTATGCTTCTCCAGGTGCATGTAGTCGATGGCATAGGGTGTATCTAGTGTTTTCCAGTACGACAGGTACTTCAAGAAAATCGACTTCTTTTTGAAAGGAACGACGATAGATGGTTCCTCCATCTTATCCCGCTTTCTCTTCCTTGTCGTTGTCCCCTCTGTCTCTTTCTTCTTCTTTCCAAACTTGACCTCCATGTCCTTGACCATGCCAAATACCTTTTCCCTGTACCTAGTCCGTTCCGGTTCATCAAGTTGTGGCTCGGCCTGGTTGTCGAAGTATTTATTCATCGTATCCTTTCGGTACCTATGCTTCTTGACAAGGAATCGTCTGTTCCTCGTGTACACCATCTTGTTGGATCCCTTAAGGTAAGTGTAGCAGGTACTGTCGATGCAAACTACGCAGTCGGTCTTCCCTTTGATCTGCCTCGATAGTGAAAAAAGACTAGGATAATCGGTGATGGTCACAAAGATTATGGCTTTTAGAGTGAACTTCTTCCTTAGGGACACATCCATCATCTCGACCCCTTTTTCCCATAGTATCTTCATGTCCTCCATGAGCGGCTCCAGGAACACATCTATATCATTGTCGGGCTGCCTCGGTCCGGAAATAACCATGGTCAGTAGAAGGTATCTGCGCTTCTAACACAACCAAGGAGGTAGGTTGTAAATATTGAGGATGACCGGCCAAGTGCTGTGCGAGCTCCTAAGGTCACCGAACGGGTTCATTCCGTCTGTACTCAGTGCGAACCTAACATTTCGCGCCTCTTTGCCAAACTCTAAGAACGTGGCGTTGAAATCCTTCCACTGCTTGCCATCGGAAGGGTGCCATAGCTTGCCATCGTCCTTCGTGCGATCACCAGATGCATGCCAGGACATCATCTTGGCATCCTTGGGGTTCCCGAATATAGCCCGTAGATGATCAATGACAGGCAGGTACAGGACTTTTCCTCTGCATGTAACCCTCTTCTTCCTCGTCCTGTTGAGACGAGATCTGCTTCTTCTTCGCCCCCTTCTTCTTGGCCCCATTCTTCTTTGGCCCACCCAAGGCTCCATCGTCGTTCGCATCCATGCAACAATCGGCATTCCTCTTATATCGACTTGCGCCGTAGTGCGGATAGCTCTCCAACTTCTCATACTGCTCACCCCAATAAAGGATACAGTGGCTAGGGCAGGCGTCGAACTTTCTAAGTTTCATTGCCACTGGCCGGATCAGCTTCTTCGCCCGATATGTATTGACGGGCACCTTGTTATCCTTTGGGTATGTGTCAGCAAGGATAAGAGCTCATTGAAGCTAGTGTCAGACCAGCCATGCCGAGCCTTCAACGTCAGCATCTAGAGGTTAAAACGTAGCGCCGTCCAATGCTTCGGACAGTCCGTATAGAGCGCGTCAATTGCCGCCTGCTTCATGTCTCTGAAATTTTCTAGCCACCTCGGGCTCCTAAACAGAATGTCATCTTCGTCGAGGCGGTTAGCTATTTCCTCCAAAAGCTCCACACCCTCGAGGTCCCTCACAATAGCCTCCTCATCAGCATCCCCACCATCGTCGTCGTCAGCAGTCATGTCTTGGAATAAATCCTCTATCGTGATGTAATCACGAGCATTGTCATCGCTGGCTACTGATGATGAGGAGGGGGAGGCGGGTTGTCGTCCTACATGGTCTACATCGTCCTACAAGTGAGATTGCACCTTGCTATTTACGTGGGCTCTCATGTTCATACAGTGAGAACACGGACATATGGTTGTCGTCCGATTCAGACTCTCACGGTGAACTTTTGCAGCCGCAATAAACTTCCTCACATGAACCAGGTATTGCGGTTCCATTCTCTTCATCCGGTACATCCATTCGGACTTGTTGTCCATACCTGCAAACCTTATTTCACAAAGCATATATTATTACAAATAAATAGCCGTAGAGAAGAGAGAATAGATCTAGAGCTAAAGAAATAGCAATTTTCTCTCTCCTCCATGAAAAGGTGAATCTAGATCTAGATCTAGAGCCCCAAATGATGAAGAAGAGCGACAAATGAGGTTTGGAGAGCATGTATCTACCTTTTGCGGTGTCCTCCTTCAACAAAACAAGAGCAAAACTTCTCCCCCTGATTTTGCACAAATTTTAGGGTTTTGCATCTCAAAACCCTAAAAATTAGAAGAGGAGCCGTGAGGAAGAAGAAAGGGGGCGACGGCTGTGGCAAAACCGCCCAAAATAGCGTACTTATGGAGGCACTCGTCTTCTACCAGACACTAAGCACCCCGAAAGCAACTACAGCGAGCGGTGTCCGTCAGGCACACCCCGAGGGAGAACCCGAAAGATTCACATTTTTTTCCAAGGATCCAATAATGAGAACGAGTTACAACACAAGTCTATTTCATACATTAGAGTTTCTTAAAAAGTATCTTATTACAATACCAAATATAGAGTGCGGAATGATAAACAGTGGAATATTAAAAAGATAACATCTAGCGATAAGGTAGCGAGGATTTCGTCCGAGCCCACCAGCAGGATCCTTCACACAAGGTACTCCTCAAGCATCACCTACAACAGGGGTAAATAAACCCTGAGTACACAATGTACTCGCAAGACTTACCCGACTAGTGGGAATAATTTCCCGACTCCAAGGGATATGATAGGCTTTATGGTTTGCTGGTTTTCTTTAGCAGAAAGCAATACTAATAGTGAGTCCTTATTTATGTATTATTATTATCAGCCATATTAAGTTATCACCTAGCCAGTCTATATAAGCACCTGTCTACTTTCAAGCAAGGGTTGAGCAATCAGTTATATATCTTCTTTCTCCACTTTCAGTTCTTACTACGGTGCTAAACCGCAGACAAGCCGTACCGGATCCCCCGGCGATTCGCGAATCAATGTGCCCAGCTAGGTGCCCCGAAAACACATGCCCCGCTTGTACCCCAGGCACAAGCAGGACTAACCCACCACTCTCCTGTCCCGGGTGTCCAGGTCCCCGTCCAAGCTTGGACTCCAAGCCCCCACTCCTGAGTCCCGAACTCCTTGAGTTTGCCGAGTGCCCGAAACACTCAGTAAAAGACAGAAAACACTCGGCAAATTGTTCGCCGAGTGTAACACTCGGCGAATAGCACTTGCCATAAACAGTACCGGCAAAGCCAACTTTGCCGAGTGCCATTTATCGGGCACTCGGCAAAGTTTTTGCCGTGTGCAGTTTGGCTCTCGGCGAAAAGAAATGGTCATAACGCCAGACCCGCCGTTAACAGCGACTTCGCCGAGTGTCAAACGGCAAGGCACTCGGCAACTAATTTCTTTTCAAATATTTTATGTTTTTAGAATTCCTTGTCGTCGAGTGCTGCTCTCGGTAAATGATAATAATATGCCGAGTGCCGCGCAGGGAGACACTCGGCAAACATTTTGGAAACAGTATTTGGTTTTTTTAAAAATAGCTTTTCGCCGAGTGTGATAACGCCTACACTCGGCAAATATTTCATATTTGCCGAGTGTCTTGGTCATAACACTCGGCAAAGTCTCAAAAATCTGATTTTTTTTGTTTTTGCATTACATTTCACAGCACACACACACACACACACACACACACACACACACATATATATATATATCACAGCACAGATATGTTTCACAGCACAGATATCTTACACAACACATATATCACATATATATATATATATCATCTCCACACACCACATATCACATACATCACAA